TTTTATACACAATACTTATTCTGTGTGTAAGCATTTAGTAAAAGAATATACTACCAAGAATCCAGAATTTTTTCCTCAATATCTTTTTACTACATGACATCATGATTATCCTCTTATTTCTTTTGATATTAAAAATCCTCCAAAAATTCATTTAGATAATCATCCTTGGAATAATCGTTTATACAACAATATTATGAATTCTGAGTCTAATACAGAGACAATGACAATAACTGATGAAGTAGAAACGTCTCATGTTCCTGATCGTTGGGCTATAATTAAAAAAAGAAAAGAAGAATTGGTAGCCAATATGGAAATATATAAAACATTAGTAAAACTTGTGAGTGATAATATTGAAAATGATAAATTTTATGAAGTTTATACTACCCTTAAACAACTCCTTATTTCCGAAACTGCCACTTGCATTGAAGTTCTTAATGCAAAAAGTCAACAGTGAACTTGGCAGTCTTCGACACATGGAAAACTAGCCTTTTGGCTACGATGATTTTTTTTCTTTTTTCTATATACTGTATCTACAAATATATAAAATAAAACTTTGTAAAGTTCGATATTTGTATTTTTAATAGTATTTTTTTTAAAAAAACGATGATTAGCTCTTCATATAAATCTTTACTTCTGTGCTATTTTTTTAGAACGGTAATCTTGAATTGATAGATGATCTACTGATCTACGTATTTGGCTCGGAAATCACGGGACCGAGGATCGATTTTGCCACCCTATCGATCCCTCGAGTGTAACATACATGATTTAAACATTAGATTTAAATGTTGAGTATAGGTTGTTTGACGTCTTAAAATATTTTTTCTGCATTATGATTCCAAATGGTTTTGTTAGCAAAAAAAAATTACAATTTATATCGCTTATTTCTCATGTTATGAATAAAAATAACAATAATCGATGATGTGTCACTTTAGCCAAAACATTCTTTTCATAAGATTGCAATTATAAAAAAATCAAAAAAAACTATTCCGAAATTTTGACATATAGCAAGGTAGTTGCGCAACGAATGAATGAACAGTAAATTATATTCATTCAAAAATTCTGTAAATTTAAAATTATTAATTATTAGGATCTTAGAATTCATATTTGCACTAATAGCTGTCATCGAATTATTTTAATTGAAAATAAGAGCAAATCTATATAGTCAAATAAAAAAAAATCAGATTCAAAATATATATATATATATTTCTCTTTGAATTATACATATCCACCACTTATATATTCTTTTTTGTTACCTATTAGTTCTACTTATCACAACCAATTCGAACATGTGACTAAAATTATTTAAGCATGTCACGCTACGAAACGTCATTACACTAAACTAGTCGAATTCAATTTCACTAAAAAAGGTGTAAATTTAAATCCTTTAAAAAATTTAAATTTGGTTCATAAATAAAAACATTGCCATATTATTGGTAAACATGTTATCATCACGCTGCCTGCTATTTCAATTATTAGTCAGATAGTTTAACTTGGCTCGCATGTGCGTTTTAGACTGTCAGATGACGAAGAAATTTGTGTATAATACGTTGCATCATTTCTAGACGGAATCATTTAGAGGATAATCTAGTATAATCATTGTTTAGCCGATTTTAGGTGAATTATGTCGGACGACAGTCGTAAATTTAGTTTTGAAGTAAAGGTGGCCTGTTGGGACGGCAGTCACAAAAAAATTTTCTTGCATTTGTGTACATAGCGACTTGTCCAGGTTTGTCAGAAGAGGGTTAAGTTTTTTTTCAGATAGAACTGCCTGGTTTTCACACCACCCTGCAGGATAAACAATACTGTAGCATTTAGAAAATCGACACTCTCAAATTCTACATGTATTGCATGAAAGTGGAAGGGACAGAATACCCATAATTGTATTTCATTGATTTAGTAACACTCCTCGATGAGAGAAAAAAAATACAATTCATTCTGCAATGATAATATATAAACGGGTAATTGTATCAAGTTTATGCCATCAAAGAATTCGATTTCTAAAATTCGTAAAAAAAATTTATACGTGTCACCAGCACACAATTGACTAATCATTTTTAACATTCTATTTGATATTTTTTTAAGCTACTGCATTATTGTCCAACAAATTTAGTCTTTGACGATCAGTGATTATCAATTTATCAGACTGGCAAAAATCCGACAGAAGCAAAACAAAAATAAAAAAAAATACAGCAAACCGATATATAAATATAGATACTGTAAAGCCAGTCATAAAATGAAAAAAATGTGCTTTAATTCATTCGGTTTGATAATTTATCCGTACTAACTTCTAGCCTCCAGCATCTTGCTACACTCACACATGAAGATATGTAGCTCATGTAGCTCATGTAGCTCACATGGCGGGTAGATTTTCGTTCCGATCCCTACAAAATAACATAAATTTGGTTAGTAATTTTCATTGTACGCATGCCAAAAAAATAATCATCACATGAAGACAATAAAGTTAATCATACAAAAGCGTTAAATACAAATATACATGTGGACAGACATGAAAATTTTCAAAGTTGCTTTTTGATAGACAATATTTCAACTAATCAACTAAACAAAACCGTAACCTACTGTTGTAGCTTTTGTACTATATTAACTAAACATTAAATATCTTCCGCTACGCTCCAGACAATTAAAGATTGTAAATTTATTTAATGCATATTTTTCTTCCTCTTTAAAAAAAAATGACCTCTGAACAACTTCGTGAACTTGGTTATAATTATCGATTTGGTATAGGTGTTAAGAAAGATGAAAAGAGGGCTTTTAAATATTATATGAAAGCAGTTGAGTTAGGAAATTCAGCTGCAATGAATAATGTTGGTCTTTGCTATAGTCATGGAATTGGTGTAAAAATAAATTACCAAAAATCATTTGAATATTGTAAAAGATCAGCTGATTTGGACAATGTTCACGGAATGTGTAGTATTGGTTTTCTTTATGAAAATGGAAGAGGGGTTGATCAAGATTATAATAAAGCACTTGAATATTATAAAAAATCTGCTAATATGGGCAATCAAGTGGCGATGAGCAACGTTGCCCGATTTTATCGAAACGGTATCGGTACAAATAGAGATATTCAGAGTGCAAATTATTGGTTCACAAAATATAGAAATCTTTTGAAAACTAATAAATCACCGGATTATATTAATCCTGAACTTAAGAGAATATTGGACGATGAGAGATTTAAATTATTTTGGATTGATTATAATGAGTTCAATGATATTGATGAAGAGGGAAAAGGAGGATTTGCAACTGTATATTATGCGCGTTGGTTCGATAGTATTAATTATATTTGGCGAAATGTTGCAATTAAAGTTATTCGTGATTCAAATGAAAATGTGCAAGAATTTATACAGGAATTAAAGAATTACTGTGAAATTGGTTACAAGAATCCTTCATTCTTGGAATGTATTGGAGTATCGAGAGATAATTATGGTGATTATATTATCGTTATGGATTTTGCAGGAAAAGGTTCGTTACGTCAAAATCTTGTACAAGTATCACAATTGGAATGGAAGTATAAATTGAGTCTCTTACGCTATATAGCCTTTGATCTTGAATCGATTCATTCACTGGAACTCGTTCACAGAGATTTACACAGCGGAAATATTTTACAAAGAGGAGGCAATTTGCATAACGCATATATTACTGATCTTGGACTTTCTAAAAAAATGAAGGAGAGAAAAATTTGTGGAATTCTTCCATATATAGCACCTGAGGTTTTGGTGGGTCAATCGTATACCTTAGCATCAGATATTTACAGCCTTGGAGTTATCGCGACAGAGATTTCGACAGGACAAAGAGCATTTGATGGAATTCCGTTTAATGGTGATCTTGTGTCAAAAATTATCAGTGGATCAAGACCAAAATGTTTAGGTCCAGATTGTTATATTAAATTAGCTATGAGATGTATGGATAAAGATTTTGATAAACGACCTACTGCATCAGAAATTATTGAAATAATTTCTTGTTGGTTAGATGAAATGGATCGGGAGGATGATAATGAAATTAAATTACAATTTTTGGAAGCTAATAAAATTAAACCACAATTGATTAGACAAATACACTCTCAAGAATCATATACTAGCAAACTATATGATACTCAAAAAATTTTTGAATATATTAGTACAGTAAAATCCCGAGTAATTTCTCAAGTTTAGATTAAATTAAATTATATAATATGTGGTTATGTAACTTGCATTTAGGAAGATACAACTATAGTAATTTTTCTTGTCAAATTTCTGCAGCACCTAATCTCATTAGATTACAGAGATAAAAATTTTCTTCCGGATTAGCTATAAATTTTAGATTGTAATTCTTATTATTTGCGTTTTTGTGGGTTGTTTCTTGGAGATATGAAGCCCTTAAATCAATTTTATTAATTTATTTTGCATTGAAGTTCTATCTTAAACATCCTTTGAATCCTATATTATTTATTAATGTACTTCTAATCGTGAGCAAGAAAACTGTGGGCGTTCTCAATGCGCCTTAATTGATGGGTAAAAAATGTCGGGGATAAATTTTACTTGTGGAAAATATTTTAAACAAGTCAATTGTGTTTATCATTGGAATGGACTGGAATATTGCTATTTGATAAAGTTTATTATGTAATTCAAAATTATTTTTTATTTTTATTAGTAAAAAAATACTGAATTTGCCTGTAATCTATCGATAAGTATTTGATATCGTTTCTGGTTTTCATTTACTTATTGGCACGGGATTTTTACATCAGACACCGTGCAATAATTATAAATTATCCCATTAAAAATGAAGATTGCTACGTTTATAACTCTACTGCCTACGCTATTGATTAATAATTTACAATCGGAAAAATTTCCTAATCGAATAGCATTTTTTTAATGCAAGATGAAACTAATAAAGTCATTATTTTTACCAGTCATTTATTACATAAACAAATATGGCTTATACTAATAAATACCAGGCATAATAATCCATCTATTTTTAGGCCACTCCTCTCCAAACTTTTCTCTTCCTCATTTTTCAGAATTTTTAGCAATAATCCCCAAACAAACAATCGTCCAAATAAAAGTTAGCCAGATAGTTAAATTAAATCCTTTAGTAAGAATTACAAAGCTAAAATAAATTATAATTTCAGCTGTATAATGAGCTGATGAAATATGATCAAACCAATCACCTTTTGGAATAGAGTAAAGAGATAAAGATGACATAGAACCTTTATAGCGAAGCGATGCAAGGTTTTTGTGAGTATATATTGATGATATGAAGCATAAATAAAGACAAATATAGCAAGTAATATGTTCCAAGATAAAAAGTTTGTAGAACGATTTACAAATAAATTTGTTTCTTTATCTAAAATATCAATTATTAGTGAGAAAAATAATTATATGTCTAAGGTTTAATAAAACATACCCTTATTATCAAGAATTCCAAAATTTCCAATGCCTTCAATAAACACAAACAATTCAGTTGCAATATAAAAAGCCATACCTAGCAAATAAAGTCAAACATGCATTTTGGCACCAACTGAAGGCCTTTCATTAGAAATATTCATACATTCTTCTAACAGTCTGAACTTGAAACAATCAATCCAATTACCCATTCTATAACTGGCTCTTTAAAATACTCTGGCTCATATTTTTCACCATTATCAAAGATTTGCAAAATATCCTCTATTTCTATTTCGTAAAATAATGACATCAATAATAAGAAATGTAGCCCAAAGTGTCCCAATGGTTAAACCAATGTTTTGGAACAGTTAAACTTTGTATATATGCCTCAATTGAATTGTTTGCAGTGAACTGTGGTGATGTTCCAAATTTTCCATAGGAAATGATTAAAATTTTTAAAGATCTGAAATTATTATAGCAGATATGATTATAATGATATAGAAGAGTTGAATTAAGGATAATAATGTCGGACCTTTTTTAGAATTTATTTGTGTAAAGCAAATGTCCTAGTAATTAAAAAATTGCCACGATTTGTGTCACTGATACTATTCCTTTTACTCTTTTTATTTATTTACAGTGTTAACCTGTGTGTACCTCCCGGAAACGAGGTCAACGGTTCAACTAATAACAGGGAGTCACGTGAGCATGGGGACACGAAAACCGGGCAATGGTGCAAAAGTATCGTTTTTAATAGATCTGCGGTTGCTTTTTGATAGGTCTAAAATGTACCCCAAAATTGATTTACGTTCTTGATGCGTTTATAGAATAGACTAATAGAATAGACTAATAGAGGATGTACCAATTTTTTGATATTTTGAGCGAAACTATCTCAACAACCACTGGACCAAATTTGATAATTTTTTTTTATTTGAATTCTATGAATTCATAGAATTTAAATAAAAAATAATTCATCAAATTTGGCTGGTGGTAATGGAGATATCTTCGCTCAAAGTTAAAGAAAAATCAAAATGCCTATATAAATTAAAGTTGTGACAATTTTTTTAAAAAAAACTTTGAACGAAGCTATCTCCACAACCACTGGACCAAATTTGATAATTTTTTTTATTTGAATTCTATGAATCTCATAGAATTTAAATAAAAAAAATTTATCGAATTTGGTCTGGTGGTAGTGGAGATACTTTGCTCAAAGTTTTTTAAAAGAATTGATACAGCTTTAATTTAGATGAACATTTTGGTTTTTCTTTAACTTTGAGCAAAGCTATCTCTACTCCTACCAGACTAAATTAAATGAAGTATTTTTTTATTTAAATTCTATAAATGTATAGAATTCAAATAAAAAAATTATTAAATTTGGTTTAGTGGTTATGGAGATAGAGTTTTTTAAAAAATTGGCACAGCTTTAATTTTGATAGGTGTTTTGTTTTTTTTAACTTTGAGCGAAGATAGAATTCAAATAAAAAAAAATTATCAAATTTGGTCCAGTAGTTGTTGAGATAGCTTCGCTCAAATTTTTAAAAAATTGGTACAGCATCAAAAACGATACTTTTGCGGCTTTGTTACGGTGTATAATATTGACCAATCACGTGTAGGAATGTCACGTGGTCACTTGACTATCGGAAAATTCTTTTGTGGTTACGAACACCAGCCCCTAAACATATCATGACGTTATTTGTTTAACAGAATCAAATAAACTGGCTTAATATTAAACTATACTAGGCCAAATGGTAGTCATGTCATATTGTGATGATCACTGGGTTAACTCTTCTTAAATCTTCCCAAAAATTTTGATCGAATTTGATCAGGTGAGTGTCAAGTAATCTTCGTTCAAAGTTTAGGCACCTATAAAAAAGAAGCTGCGGCTAATTTTTTCTAAAACTTTTTTGTGAAGATTTTTCAATAACGCCTATCCAATTTCAATAATTTTTTTTTTAATTCTATAAACTTACAGAATTAAATTCATCGAATTTGAATCGATGGTTGTTGAGAAATTTTCGCTTAAAATAAAAAAAAAGAGAAATTACCCGATTTAATTTTTTCGATATTCTATGCAAATTCGATGAATTTAATTCTAAAAATATATAGAACTAAAATAAAAAAATTCTACGGAGTTTAATCAAGTCATTACCGAGAAACCTTCGCTAGAGTCATCATTTTGTTTGGTTAACTTCACGTGGCCGAACATTTTTTTAGCATTAGTCAATTTATTGGACCATACTAGCTAAATTCGGAAATTTGGTAAGTGTTTAATGAATGCTGTGCAACGTAATACATTTCATCAATAAATTTGATGCATTAACGCATTTTTTCTTGAGAAAAGTTGTCAATTTATAATAATATATTCGAAAAGAAGCCAAAACAAGTTGACAGCTTATCGGGTGAATTTAGAAGACAACAAGTCACAAGATTTTTTAATGAAATTATTGAAGAAATGTGTAATATATACGATAAAGAAAGATTGAAAGGTCAAAGCCTCCGTTCAATTCTTGACACATTACTGCATTAGAACAATTTCAAGTAAACAAAAAGTAAAGCACAGATGATATTATCAATTTTTGCCTAAAAGATAATGCCAATCTTATAATTCAAATCATTCTTGCAAGTTGCTATTATTATGGTAAATGGGTTGAAGTGGATGAACATTTATTATCAAAAATCTGCAGAGATGGGAATCGCTAATGGAGTATATAATGTTGGAAACTGTTATCGCCTTGGAATTGGAGTTGAAAAAGGATATACATAAGGCTTTCGTTTATTATCAAAAATCTGCTGAAATGGGGAGTACCGGAGGAACATACAATGTTGGAAATTGTTTGCGTCATGGAATTGGAGTTGAAAAAGATGAATATAAGGCTTTCATTTATTATCAGAAATCAGCAGAGATTGGGGATGCTGTTGGAATGTCGACAGTTGCAGAATGTTATCGAAATGGAATTGGAATAACAAGATATCTAGATAAAGCCAAATACTGGTATCAAAGGTAAATATGAATTTAAATTTGTATTGGTGTACAATCCAATCATAAGATCAGATGCAAATAAATCGAAAAGGCGTAATGATTTGGAGAAAAGTTAGAATTAAAATAAGATTAGAACAATTTTATAAAAATTTTTGAAAAAGGTAACTTCATAAATCTTGGTAGTTCTGGAAAAGTGCACATTTTCAGTGCAACAAACTATAATACTCAGTCATTATACGTATCACATATATACTATATACTTATTTAATAACTTCTTACATTTAATCGCCGATTAGGGGAAAAGATTTAACATTAGGAATTAATTATAAGTTCAATTGTTATTAATTTATTTATTAACTAAATTTTATAATAATTAATAGCTACAAACAAGTGGATATATAATTCTGAAATTGAAGATGATTTAAAAAAATTTTTGATCGAAAATAGATATCTGTTATTTTGGATTACTTATGACCAATTTAAAGATATTGAAGAAATAGGTAGAGATGGATTTGCAACTGTATATTGTGCTATCTGGCTTGATGAATTCCAAAGTGTTGATAGACCAGTTGCGCTTAAATTACTTCATAAATCAAATAATTATCATGAAGAACTTATAAGAGAGGTAATTTCTGCTAAATATTTTTTTCTTATGTTATTCGTGATTTATAATTATATTGATAAATTTTAAAGATATTATATTTCCCTTTAATTATAAGTTAAAAGCTTATTGTGATATTGGCCTTAAAGATCCAACTTTTTTAAAATGTTTCGGTTTATCAAGAGATAAAGATTCTAAAGATTATATACTCGTGATGGAATATGCTTATGAAGGTTGTTTGCGTAAAAATCTACGTACTATAGCACAAATGAATTGGAAGGACAAATTAAACCTGCTACAATGTATTGCATCAGATCTTCAGATTATTCATTCTCATGACCTTATTCATCGTGATTTGCATATTGGAAATATATTACTTAATAGTTTTAAAAGCGCATACATCGCAGATTTAGGGCTTTCGATAACTGCTAATATGGCTTTAAAATCAAAATCTGATAAAATTTGTGGAATTTTACCATATATTGCTCCTGAAGTTTTGAATAATCAACCATATACTAAAGCATCTGATATTTATTCATTTGGTATAATCTTGTGGGAAATTTTATACGGTAAACCTGTACCTTTTGAGCAAAAATCAATATTGCAATCTAAATTACAATTTCAAATACAAGTAAGTGATGGTTTACGACCAAATATTTACAAATACGGCAAAGTGCTATGCAGATTTAATGAAGAAATGTTGGAATAAAGAACCAAATGAACGACCAACGGCAATAGAAATTTGTGATATTTTTGCAGAATGGCAGAATAATGAAAATATTTTATCAGAATTATCTGAATCTGATAAAAAATTACAAAATATGATAACTGAAGATTTACAAGTATATATTGATTCACATTATAAAAGTAGCTTTATTTTATCTAAAATTGATTATAAAGGTAATTATAAATTATAAATTTAGTTTATTTTTAATGTATTCTATCAGTCTATATTTATTAATTCTTTGTATAGATGGTGAAATATATGAATTAGAAATACCAGATACTATCAATGATATCTAAAGTAAGTGATAAAGATCATGTTAGTTCTACTATGAGTACTTTAAATGATTCTGTTAATGGAGCTTACCCCTTAATAGGATACACATCGATTGAGTTAGTAATAAAATTATCATAATTTCTGCTGCAAATTATTGTAAAAATTCTGTCACAAACTTACTTGCTATTCCATCCCAATTTGAAATAACAATATGGCAGAAGATATCATGCTTTACTAATAAATTAACATGCGTACTACAGAACATTATAAAGAATTATACATCTGTTTATATAACAATTTCTCGCCCGATAGGTTAAAAGTTTGAAATTTCTTTTTATATCGATATCAATTCTTATTAAAAATACTTGCATTAAAATCTTGAAAAATTTTAAATGGATTTTGAGTATACAAAATTAAATAGAATTATTCTGTGCTCATTTTTTGAATTATATGCACTCACATTATATTGAATATTATTTACCTAGTATAATGCCTATTATATATTAGTTCTTTAGTTAGTTGATTAATCAATAAAAATTTGGGGATTTTTTAAATTATAATCTCATCAGTTTTGAACGAAGAAATCCTACTTATGACTGCTTATTCTCAATATTCAAAGCTATTTCGCATTCTACAAATTAATAGGATTAGTAAATAACATTAAACATTTAAATTAATTAAGCACTTATTGAGATACCTTCAAAAACACAGATAATATTATACTTTAGGTCG